GCTACACGCTACAGCGCCCATGAGTGTCATCTATATGCTACACGCTACAGCGCCACAGAGCGTCACCTATATGCTACACGCTACAGCGCCCATGAGTGTTATCTACATGCTACACGCTACAGTGTCCATGAGTGTCATCTATATGCTACACGCTACAGTGCCCATGAGTGTCATCTACATGCTACACGCTACAGTGTCCATGAGTGTCATCTATGTGCTACACGCTACAGTGTCCATGAGTGTCATCTATATGCTACACGCTACAGTGCCCATGAGTGTCATCTATATGCTACACGCTACAGCGCCCATGTGTGTCATCTATATGTTACACGGCTACAGCACTCATGAATGTCATCTATATGCTACACGCTACAGCGCCCATAAGTGTCATCTATATGTTACACGCCACAACGCCAATAAGTGTCATCTATATGATACACGCTACAGCGCCCATGAGTGTCATCTATATGCTACACGCTACAGTGCCCATGAGAGTCATCTATATGCTACACGCTACAGCGCCCATGAGAGTCATCTATATGCTACACGCTACAGCGCCCATGAGTGTCATCTATGTGCTACACGCTACAGTGCCCATGAGAGTCATCTATATGCTACACGCTACAGCGCCCATGAGTGTCATCTATGTGCTACACGCTACAGTGCCCATGAGAGTCATCTATATGCTACACGCTACAGCGCCCATGTGTGTCATCTATGTGCTACACGCTACAGTGTCCATGAGAGTCATCTATATGCTACACGCTACAGCGCCCATGTGTGTCATCTATATGCTACACGCTACAGTGCCCATGAGAGTCATCTATATGATACACGCTACAGCGCCCATGTGTGTCATCTATATGCTACACGCTACAGTGCCCATGAGAGTCATCTATATGCTACACGCTACAGCGCCCATGAGAGTCATCTATATGCTACACGCTACAGCGCCCATGAGTGTCATCTATGTGCTACACGCTACAGTGCCCATGAGAGTCATCTATATGCTACACGCTACAGCGCCCATGAGTGTCATCTATGTGCTACACGCTACAGTGCCCATGAGAGTCATCTATATGCTACACGCTACAGCGCCCATGTGTGTCATCTATATGCTACACGCTACAGTGCCCATGAGAGTCATCTATATGCTACACGCTACAGCGCCCATGAGTGTCATCTATGTGCTACACGCTACAGTGCCCATGAGAGTCATCTATATGTTACACGCTACAACGCCCATGTGTGTCATCTACATGCTACACGCTACAGCGCCCATGTGTGTCATCTATATGCTACACGCTACGGTGCCCATGAGTGTCATCTATGTGCTACACACTACAGTGCCCATGAGAGTCATCTATATGTTACACGGCTACAGCGCCCATGAGTGTCATCTATATGCTACACGCTACAGCGCCCATAAGTGTCATCTATATGTTACACGCCACAACGCCAATAAGTGTCATCTATATGATACACGCTACAGCGCCCATGACTGTCATCTATATGCTACACGCTACAGTGCCCATGAGAGTCATCTATATGCTACACGCTACAGCGCCCATGTGTGTCATCTATGTGCTACACGCTACAGTGCCCATGAGAGTCATCTATATGCTACACGCTACAGCGCCCATGTGTGTCATCTATATGCTACACGCTACAGTGCCCATGAGAGTCATCTATATGCTACACGCTACAGCGCCCATGTGTGTCATCTACATGCTACACGCTACAGCGCCCATGTGTGTCATCTATATGCTACACGCTACAGCGCCCATGAGTGTCATCTATGTGCTACACACTACAGTGCCCATGAGAGTCATCTATATGTTACACGGCTACAGCACTCATGAATGTCATCTATATGCTACACGCTACAGCGCCCATAAGTGTCATCTATATGTTACACGCCACAACGCCAATAAGTGTCATCTATATGATACACGCTACAGCGCCCATGAGTGTCATCTATATGCTACACGCTACAGTGCCCATGAGAGTCATCTATATGCTACACGCTACAGCGCCCATGTGTGTCATCTATATGCTACACGCTACGGTGCCCATGAGTGTCATCTATATGTTACACGGCTACAGCGCCCATGAGTGTCATCTACATGCTACACGCTACAGCGCCCATGAGTGTCATCTATATGCTACACGGCTACAGCGCCCATGTGTGTCATCTATATGTTACACGCTACAGCGCCCATGATTGTCATCTACATGCTACACGCTACAGCGCCCATGATTGTCATCTATATGCTACACGGCTACAGCGCCCATGTGTGTCATCTATATGCTACACGCTACAGCGCCCATGAGTGTCATCTATGTGCTACACGCTACAGTGCCCATGAGAGTCATCTATATGCTACACGCTACAGCGCCCATGTGTGTCATCTATATGCTACACGCTACAGCGCCCATGAGTGTCATCTATATGCTACACGCTACAGCGCCACAGAGCGTCACCTATATGCTACACGCTACAGCGCCCATGAGTGTTATCTACATGCTACACGCTACAGTGTCCATGAGTGTCATCTATATGCTACACGCTACAGTGCCCATGAGTGTCATCTACATGCTACACGCTACAGTGCCCATGAGTGTCATCTATGTGCTACACGCTACAGTGTCCATGAGTGTCATCTATATGCTACACGCTACAGTGCCCATGAGTGTCATCTATATGCTACACGCTACAGCGCCCATGTGTGTCATCTATATGTTACACGGCTACAGCACTCATGAATGTCATCTATATGCTACACGCTACAGCGCCCATAAGTGTCATCTATATGTTACACGCCACAACGCCAATAAGTGTCATCTATATGATACACGCTACAGCGCCCATGAGTGTCATCTATATGCTACACGCTACAGTGCCCATGAGAGTCATCTATATGCTACACGCTACAGCGCCCATGAGTGTCATCTATGTGCTACACGCTACAGTGCCCATGAGAGTCATCTATATGTTACACGCTACAACGCCCATAAGTGTCATCTATATGCTACACGCTACAGCGCCCATGTGTGTCATCTATATGCTACACGCTACGGTGCCCATGAGTGTCATCTATATGTTACACGGCTACAGCGCCCATGAGTGTCATCTACATGCTACACGCTACAGCGCCCATGAGTGTCATCTATATGCTACACGGCTACAGCGCCCATGTGTGTCATCTATATGTTACACGCTACAGCGCCCATGATTGTCATCTACATGCTACACGCTACTGCGCCCATGATTGTCATCTATATGCTACACGGCTACAGCGCCCATGTGTGTCATCTATATGCTACACGCTACAGCGCCCATGAGTGTCATCTATGTGCTACACGCTACAGTGCCCATGAGAGTCATCTATATGCTACACGCTACAGCGCCCATGTGTGTCATCTATATGCTACACGCTACAGCGCCCATGAGTGTCATCTATATGCTACACGCTACAGCGCCACAGAGCGTCACCTATATGCTACACGCTACAGCGCCCATGAGTGTTATCTACATGCTACACGCTACAGTGTCCATGAGTGTCATCTATATGCTACACGCTACAGTGCCCATGAGTGTCATCTACATGCTACACGCTACAGTGCCCATGAGTGTCATCTATGTGCTACACGCTACAGTGTCCATGAGTGTCATCTATATGCTACACGCTACAGTGCCCATGAGTGTCATCTATATGCTACACGCTACAGCGCCCATGTGTGTCATCTATATGCTACACGCTACAGCGCCACAGAGCGTCACCTATTTGCTACACGCTACAGCGCCCATGAGTGTTATCTACATGCTACACGCTACAGTGTCCATGAGTGTCATCTATATGCTACACGCTACAGTGCCCATGAGTGTCATCTACATGCTTCACGCTACAGTGCCCATGAGTGTCATCTATGTGCTACACGCTACAGTGTCCATGAGTGTCATCTATATGCTACACGCTACAGTGCCCATGAGTGTCATCTATATGTTACACGGCTACAGCGCCCATGAGTGTCATCTACATGCTACACGCTACAGTGCCAATGAGTGTCATCTATATGTTACACGGCTACAGCGCCCATGAGTGTCATCTACATGCTACACGCTACAGCGCCCATGAGTGTCATCTATATGTTACACGGCTACAGCGCCCATGTGTGTCATCTATATGTTACACGGCTACAGCGCCCATGATTGTCATCTACATGCTACACGCTACAGCGCCCATGAGTGTCATCTACATGCTACACGCTACAGTGCCCATGAGTGTCATCTATATGCTACACGCTACAGCGCCCATGAGTGTCATATACATGCTACACGCTACAGCGCCACAGAGCGTCGACTATATGCTACACGCTACAGTGCCCATGAGTGTCATCTACATGCTACACGCTACAGTGCCCAGGAGTTTCATCTATATGCTACACGCTACAGTGCCCATGAGTGTCATCTATATGCTACACGCTACAGCGCCCATGAGTGCCATCTACATGCTACACGCTACAGCGCCCATGAGTGTCATCTACATGCTACACGCTACAGTGCCCAGGAGTGTTATCTATATGCTACACGCTTCAGCGCCCATGAGTGCCATCTATATGCTACACGCTACAGTGCCCATGAGTGTCATCTATATGCTACACGCTACAGTGCCCATGAGTGTCATCTACATGCTACACGCTACAGTGTCCATGAGTGTCATCTATATGTTACACGGCTACAGCGCCCATGAGTGTCATCTATATGCTACACGCTACAGTGCCCATGAGAGTCATCTACATGTTACACGCTACAGTGCCCATGAGTGTCATCTATATGCCTCACGCTACAGTGCCCATGAGTGTCATCTACATTCTACACGCTACAGCGCCCATGAGTGTCATCTATACGCTACACTGGTACTATGTCCTTACATATATTCATGATTACATATATGGTAAACAGGTATAGAGTACAGTACTGTCTATATGTTACACAGGTACGCCATGAAGCTGTTACGTGGCAGCTGGGGGACGAAGGTGGAGTTCATCCTCACTTGCGTCGCCTATGCAGTTGGCCTGGGAAACGTGTGGAGGTTTCCATACTTGGCCTTCAAGAATGGTGGAGGTAAGGTGCACACTCACAATGGCCACACACTGTTCATTGTTATTATCAGCCAAAATTGTATAATGTCAGTTCGTATTTCATCAAGTATACATAAGTGAGTGAGTGAGTGAGTATGGTTTTACGCCGCTTTTAGCAATATTCCAGCAATATCACGGCGGGGGACACCAGAAATGGGCTTCGGAAATTGTATCCATGTCGGGAATCGAACCCGGGTCTTCGGCGTGACGAGTGAACGCTTTAACCACTAGGTTACCCGACCGCCCCTCAAGTATACATAAACACACACACACACACACACACACACACACACACACACACACGCACACACACGCACACACACACGCACACGCACGCACGCACGCACGCACGCACGCACACACGCAAGCACACGCACACACGCAGGCACACACACACACACGCAGGCACACACACACACACGCAGGCACACACACACACACACACATACATTCACGCACGCACGCACGCACACAAGTACGCACGCACACACGCACATAGTTCTTTTTACTTACATTAACACATATAACAACACTGCCAGATAAAAAGATCTCTGCCTCAAGCCTTTGCAGTTGCTGATTTACTGTGATGGAAATACGTGTTTGTTTTTTGTCAAGTGATCTGTCACGTGATTGTTCTCTCGTACTTCAGGTGCGTTCCTCATCCCCTACTGGATCATGCAAGTGTTCATAGGCATGCCTCTGTTCTTCATGGAGCTGTCGTTCGGCCAGTTTGCTGGACAAGGCCCTATCACCATCTGGAAGGCCAATCCACTTCTGAAAGGTCGACATACGTTGTTTATTACTTAAGTAAACCACGTTTATAACGAACATGCTTATAACGAACTGACGGATATAACGAAATGTGTTTTGATCCCGTCCATTTGCTGTGTATTTGCTGTTTATATGCTGTATATATGCTTATAACGAACTACGGTTATAACGAACTAAAATAAGTGGTCCTTTGTGTTCGTTATAACACAGTAGTTTACTGTATCTTGAAATGTTTAGTACAAAGTTGACGTTCTGAATCACTTCCGCTGAAATAATTTCATTCTGGGATGACCGTAAATTTGTTTTTGCAGGTATTGGGATCAGCATGGTGATTGTCTGCTCCTTCATCGTCCTTTACTTCACCGTCATCGTCGGCTACATCGCCTTCTACTTCTTCTCCTCCATGCAGTCTCCTCTCCCCTGGTCCCACTGCGGGCATCACTGGAGCAGTCCAAACTGTCGGGTCGATGTACCAGGTAATCCTATAGTTCAACCTCTCAGGGCTCAGTTTGAGTACCGCGTCCATGGTGTAGTGGATACTGCGTCTGCCTGGAGAGCGGAGGATGGTGGTTAGATCCCTCCAGAGCTAAAGTTCAAAGATGGTACTTATGATTGGTATCATACCCAAGCACGGCATTGTACCCAGTACCTGGTCTCGCTTCCGCCATTACTGGACAGGGTGGATATACCAGGTTAACTGTACCCTTTATCAAGCTGAACTGAGATCACTTTACACGAAAATTACAATAATTATGTAGATGTGGCAAGATCCAATGGACTGCATTTTTGCGCGACAGAGAGACGAGTATAGTCATGGCCATTTTTGTTTCATTTTGAGATGCCTGTAAACACCATAAACGAATGTCAATACCAGACCCGACCCGTGAAGAACAGGTCTTCAGCAACCCATGCTTGCTATAAAAGGCGACTATGCTTGTCGTCAGAGGCGACTAACGGGATAGGGTGGTCAGGCTCGCAGACTTGGTTGATGCATGTCATCGTATCCCAATTGCGTGGATCGGTGCTCATGATGTCAATCACTGGATTGCCTGGTCCACACTCGATTATTTTTCTGACCGCGGTCATCTAGCTTGAATATTGCTAAGTGCGGCGTTAAACAAACAAACAAACAATACCAGACGCTGTGTCCCTGTTGGTAGGTGCTGTTGATAACATCACGACAGGGAATCTCACCACCGACCTCCAGGTGGGAAGCATGAACATCAGCAACATCAGCCACTACAACCGGACCATTTCCCCGACTGAAGACTATTTCACGTAGGTATTAGCTAGCCCTGGGTGGATTCCGAGTTAGAATAGTTCCCTAGCAACTTATGTTGGTTGTAAGCGGTGGCTTGATGGATCGGGCCGTCAGGTTCAGTGACAGCGCGGATAGTTGTTCACAATATCAGTCAATCAATTTAACACCGATATAGTAACAGTTATATTTTAAGATACTATAACAGCTCGGTTAAAAATACGCGCGTGGATAAAGAGAAGATTAGGATTAGTGTTGATTGATACAATGAATGGTGGCTGGGCTGAGAGATTGGCAGGCCCTGTTTGTTTGTATCATATCGACATTCATTTCTGAAAATATAACATGCGAACTATCACTTAAATTAAGTTTGGCCTTCTTTAAAATTTGCTATCCGTAGTAATTCAAAGCTATTAAAAGTCCAAGAGTTGTATCAACAATCAACATCAATATTTACATCATTCATTAGTCGGCAGCCGGAACAACCATGGTGAGCATGGATGACTTGGGTAGTATTCGCAAATTGTCGACGGCTGTGTTCACTATACCTCGCTGTGTCACTCGTATTGGATGCACTCACCAACTATATATGCACGTGCAACATGTGACGGTATTGTTAACAGACACGTGTGTCCGTATTTTAAAACACATTAATCTCCGAGACAACTATTCATTTTGTTATTTGCGTGTATCCTTCGGCCCTGAATTGTCACGTATAATTAAGGATAAAACTGTAAAACGATTTTTTTTTTATGTATGTTAGTTTACCTTGTATGTCTCTCTCTCTCTCTCTCTCTCTCTCTCTCTCTCTCTCTCTCTCTCTCTCTCTCTCTCTCTCTCTCTCTCTCTCTCTCTCCCTGTAGTACACGTATAATGTTGTAGAAATTTCGTCCTGGGGATGACGTCGGGACTGGGAGACATGGGCAACCTCAACTGGAAAGTGTGTCTGTGTTGTCTTTTTGCCGGCATTGTCGTATTCCTTGTGCTCATCCGGGGAATCAAGTCACTCGGCAAGGTAACCAAGCGTAAATCCTGCGCTCTTCCGAATATGGTTTACACAGCTCACATATCATATCGGATCAGACACCCTCTAACAAGTACCATTTTTTAACGCCTTTTGGAACAAGTCTCTCTTTAACTTTTTTTTGTGCAGGTCGCATACTTCAACGCCACCTTCCCCTACGTGCTGCTGTTGTCCCTCCTGATCAACGCCAGTCTTCTCCCGGGAGCCACGGAGGGCATCCTGTATTTCCTGACCCCCAAGTGGCACCGCCTGGCGGACGCCTCGGTCAGTACTGTACCTTAGGGATACAAGACAACATACAATTCTGGCTGCAGTACCTAACAATATGTTTGGACCCACGAAACATTTAATGGAGTGCACCAAGTGATCATAATTTTTACGTCATTCCCAGTCGGCGCCGTAAAATGACGTACAAGGTTACGTCCCTTTGCCGTTGCCGGATCGGTTAGTCGAGGGTTCCAATCCCAGATTTGCAACAATTTTAATCCTTGGTCTGTCGGTGCCATAATGGTTTCTATGATAAATGTCTCCGACCTGTGTCAATTTAGGGACCTCTCTCATACGCCGTGGTATAACCGAAATACTGCTTTAAGTGAGGCTAATTACAATTCACCCATCAGCTACTGGCCTGTTAACGCCAATGGTTTGGAAGGGGTCAAGGGCAACCAAAATTTTGCAATTAACCTTTGACACTGACTAATCATGAATGACGTACATTCCTAGGTATGGAGCGATGCTGCAACACAGGTATTCTTCTCTCTCGGTGTCGGCATGGGCGGCCTGAACCTCATGGCGAGCTTCAACAACTTCAAGAACAATTGTTTGAGGTAAGAACAAGGTGTGTGCGGGCAGAAGTGAGCAAATAAAAGTCCTGGGACGCCAAACTGGTGCCTATTATTGTCATGTTTGTTCGCTCGTCACGCCGAAGACCCGGGTTCGATTCCCGACATGGGTACAATGTGTGAAGCCCATTTCTGGTGTCCCCCGCCGTGAAATTGCTGGAATATTGCTAAGAGCGGCGTAAAACCATACTCACTCACTATTGTCATGTTTGTGTGGATATCATTGTCGTATTTTTGTCTAGGGACGCCATACTGGTGCCGTGTGTGGATAGCATTGACTTATTTGTGTCTAGGGACGCCATACTGGTGCCGTGCGTGGCTATCATTGACCTATTTTGGTCTAGGGACGCCATACTGGTGCCGTGATGTGGATTAACATTGTCGTATTTGTGTCTAGGGACGCCATACTGGTGCCGTGCGTGGATATCATTGACCTATTTTGGTCTAGGGACGCCATACTGGTGCCGTGATGTGGATTAACATTGTCGTATTTGTGTCTAGGGACGCCATACTGGTGCCGTGTGTGGATATCATTGTCCTATCTGTGTCTAGGAACGCCATACTGGTGCCGTGCGTGGATATCATTGACCTATTTTGGTCTAGGGACGCCATACTGGTGCCGTGATGTGGATTAACATTGTCGTATTTGTGTTTAGGGACGCCATAATGGTGCCGTGCGTGGATATCATTGACCTATTTTGGTCTAGGGACGCCATACTGGTGCCGTGATGTGGATTAACATTGTCCTATCTGTGTCTAGGGACGCCATACTGGTGCCGTGCGTGGATATCATTGACCTATTTTGGTCTAGGGACGCCATACTGGTGCCCTGTGCGGATATCATTGTCGTATGTGTGTCTAGGGACGCCATACTGGTGCCGTGTCTGGATATCATTGTCGTATTGTGTCTAGGGACGCCATACTGGTGCCGTGTGTGGATATCATTTTCGTATTTGTGTTTAGGGACGCCATACTGGTGCCGTGTGTGGACTGCCTAACCAGCTTCCTGTGCGGCCTGGTAGTGTTCGCCGTCCTGGGGTTCATGGCGCATGACAAGGGGGTTGGTATCGAGGAGGTTGCTGTAGGGGGTAAGTCACACCGCGTGTGTAGTCAGCCGGCACGTGTATAATTGAGTTCCTCTTTGAAATGTAACGGACCATTGTCATGTCGAATAATTCATAATATATGATTCTCAACAACAACATATTGCAGGACCTGGCCTGGCCTTCATTGCGTACCCTGAGGCCCTCTCAAGGATGCCCGTGCCCACCCTCTGGGCCATCCTGTTCTTCTTCATGATGCTCATCATCGGGTTCAGCTCTCTGGTAGGTTGTACAGCTTGCCTATGCAAGGGTGTGTATTGGAGTGGGGACAGGGATTGGAGTGGGTCACGTATGTGGTTTTTACTAAAGTTGACTCATCTTGTTTCAGTTCACCATGACGGAGACGGCGGTGGCCTCGCTCTGTGACGTGAAAATCTGTCATGTTTCAGTTCACCATGACGGAGACGGTGGTGGCCTCGCTCTGTGACGTGTATATCTGTCATGTTTCAGTTCACCATGACGGAGACGGTGGTGGCCTCGCTCTCTCACGTGTATATCTGTCATGTTTCAGTTCACCATGACGGAGATGGTGGTGGCCCCGCTCTGTGACGTGTATATCTGTCATGTTTCAGTTCACCATGACGGAGACGGTGGTGGTCTCGCTCTGTGACGTGTATATCTGTCATGTTTCAGTTCACCATGACGGAGACGGTGGTGGCCTCGCTCTGTGATGTGTATATCTGTCATGTTTCAGTTCATTATGACGGAGACGGTGGTGGCCTCGCTCTGTGACGTGTATATCTGTCATGTTTCAGTTCACCATGACGGAGACGGTGGTGGCCTCGCTCTATGACGTGTATATCTGTCATGTTTCAGTTCACCATGACGGAGACGGTGGTGGTCTCGCTCTGTGATGTGTATATCACAGTATATGTGTCATGTTTCAGTCCACCATGACGGAGACGGTGGTGGCCTCGCTCTGTGACGTGTATATCTGTCATGTTTCAGTTCACCATGACGTAGAGGTGGTGGCCTCGCTCTGTGACGTGTATATCTGTCATGTTTCAGTTCACCATGACGGAGACGGTGGTGGTCTCGCTCTGTGATGTGTATATCACAGTATATGTGTCATGTTTCAGTCCACCATGACGGAGACGGTGGTGGCCTCGCTCTGTGACGTGTATATCTGTCATGTTTCAGTTCACCATGACGGAGACGGTGGTGGCCTCGCTCTGTGACGTGTATATCTGTCATGTTTCAGTTCACCATGACGGAGACGGTGGTGGCATCGCTCTGTGACGAATATCCTTCATTACTGAGGAAGACATGGAAGAGAACTCTCATCTTCCGGGGTATCGTTTCCACCGCTCTCTTCCTGTTAGCGTTGCCAATGACAACAGGGGTATGTGGTTATTGTTACTTTTATTTTAATGTTCAAAAACAATTGACAAGGCAGTTACGGTCATATTCTTACCTGGCGATCTAAAGACGATATAAGCAGCCTTAAATTCGTTCATTCAATACCAAAAGGTAATTGAAACATCAATAGAAATAAAATTATAAAAACGTAATTTACTACTCAAAAGATGTTAAGGACCACCCGATTCTTTCATATTACCTGAAGTTAATTTGTTGTGGCATGAATACTGTTAAAACCGGCGGTAAACCCAACTCACTCAATCATTCCACGACTATATCGTTGACTCTTTGGCTGAGAACTAAACCCAACTCACTCAATCATTCCACGACTATATCGTTGACTCTTTGGCTGAGAAGTAAAGCCAACTCACTCAATCATTCCACGACTATATCGTTGACTCTTTGGCTGAGAAGTAAACCCAACTCACTCAATCATTCCACGACTGTATTGTTGACTCTTTGGCTGAGAAGTAAACCCAACTCACTCAATCATTCCACGACTGTATTGTTGACTCTTTGGCTGAGAAGTAAACCCAACTCACTCAATCATTCCACGACTTGTTCGGGGACTCTTTGGCTGAGAAGTAAACACAACTCACTCAATCATTCCAAGACTATATCGTTGTTTCTATGGCTGAGAAGAAAACCCAACTCATTCAATCATTCCACGACTATATCGTTGACTCTTTCGCTAAGAAGTAAAGCCAAATCACTCAATCATTCCACGACTATATCGTTGACTCTTTGGCTGAGAAGTAAACCCAAATCACTCAATCATTCCACGACTGTATCGTTGACGCTTTGGCTGAGAAGTAAAGCCAACTCACTCAATCATTCCACGACTATATCGTTGACTCTTTGGCTGAGAAGTAAAGCCAACTCACTCAATCATTCCACAACTATATCGTTGACTCTTTGGCTGAGAAGTAAACCCAACTCACTCAATCATTCCACGACTATATCGTTGACTCTTTGACTGAGAAGTAAACCCAACTCACTCAATCATTCCACGACTGTATCGCTGACTCTTTGGCTGAGAAGTAAAGCCAACTCACTCAATCATTCCACGACTATATCGTTGACTCTTTGGCTGAGAAGTAAATCCAACTCACTCACTCAATCATTCCACGACTATATCGTTGACTCTTTGACTGAGAAGTAAACCCAACTAACTCAATCATTCCACGACTGTATCGCTGACTCATTGGCTGAGAAGTAAACCCAACTCACTCAATCATTCCACGACTATATCGTTGACTCTTTGGCTGAGAAGTAAACCCAACTCACTCAATCATTCCACGACTGTATCGCTGACTCTTTGGCTGAGAAGTTAAGCCAACTCACTCAATCATTCCACGACTATATCGTTGACTCTTTGGCTGAGAAGTAAACCGAACTCACTCAATCATTCCACGACTATATCGTTGACTCTTTGGCTGAGAAGTAAACCCAACTAACTCAATCATTCCACGACTATGACGTTGTTTCTATGGCTGAGAAGAAAACCCAACTCACTCAATCATTCCACAACTATATCGTTGACTCTTTGGCTGAGAAGTAAAGGAGTTACCTCCCTTCGTATTTCAATTTGTTTTTGTTTGCTATATTCCACATTTGTGAATTGTTATGTCGACGTACGGCGATCACAGACTTACGCTGCGTGTTATGATCCATGACGCTGTGTTGCAGGCCGGCATCTACCTCCTTGACATCGTCGACTCCTCTGTTGGCGGCTTTCCTCTGCTGTTCATCGCCATCGCCGAGATCGTTGCCATCATGTACATATACGGTGAGAAGATACACCACACACGTCTAGACAATACGTTCCATCAGCACCCTTAAACACATACGGTCGCATTGCGCGTAGTCGCTATTTATAACCAACCAATCAAGCCACGTCCTGCTTCCAACGAGTGTTCTGACCAATATACGCTCAGATTACATTGCATTATCTTCCCGAGGCAAGCGTGTACACTAGCCTACATCAAAGCAAGACTTCGAAAAAAGGCTAGAGGACGCTCTTGCCTCCGGGGGGCGGTCGGGTAGCCTAGTGGTTAAAGCGTTCGCTCGTCACAAGGGACCCGGGTTCGATTCCCGACATGGGTACAATGTGTGAAGCCCATTTCTGGTGTCCCCCGCCGTGATATTGCTGGAATATTGCTAAAAGCGGCGTAACACCATACTCACTCACTCACTCTTGCCTCCGGAAGATGACATTGCATATACGGCGCTATTTCTCAGGATGCTATAGACGTATCCCTATGGCGTTGAACGTTGACCATCATCCACCACTGGTTTGCCTTGACTCGATTATAGATAGGCCCCCAGATATAGCTTGAACAATGCCGTATCTTAAAACAACATGCATTCACCCACTGCGTTCACAACCAGGGTACCGGAGGTTTGCCGAGGACCTTCAGATGATGATGGGGAAGAAACTGTCTGTGTACTGGAAGATGTGCTGGTGTTTTATCGGCCCCGCTATTCTCACTGTAAGTATAGCCAAAGTGAACGTCTACTTAACTTCTCATTCCCGACTTCGAGTCGCCAAGTCAGCTAAAGCGTTGCTATTTGTTGTGCAGAGTTGCGTCCCTTGGGCACGCCAGAAACCTATGGTCGCTCAGAATCCCGCTTCGCCCCGATTATGTTTCTAGGTTTGTCAGCACCATATCGTGCTCGTGGATTTCACCAAAGTGGCAAACGTCTGAGACTTACATCATTTCGGGCTTTCCTCACACATTAAGCTGACACGCCGTGATATAACTGAAATACTGTCCAAAGTCGCGTTAAACCCAACTCACCCACTCAGGTCTGGATAGCTTGCAGAAGGGTGTTCACATTATTAAAGGGGTTGGAATTAGAAAGGTTTGTATCCATTTGTGGAGGCTGCATGTGTTAAGCCTCGGAGACGGTGTTGGTCTAGGATACCTTCCCCTGTTCTATTACTAGTATATGCTTAAACTAACGTCACCCTCTGTTATCAAGCAAAGGATGGACATTCGCAAGATACATCACAAACCTGCTTTATATCACTTCTTGCGCAAGTCAAAGTATACATTCCTCTATCGACCCGTGAAGATCCGGGGTAGAATAGGTCTTCAGCAACCCATGCTTGCCGTAAAAGGCGACTAACGGGATCAGGTGGTCAGGCTCACAGACTTGGTTGATACATGTCATCGTATCCCGTATTGCGTAGATCGATACTCAAGATGTCAATCACTGGAGTTTCTGGTCCAGATTCGATTATTTACAGACTGTCGTCATATAGCTGGAATATTGCTGAGTGCGACGTTTAACAACAAACAAATAAACAAACAAAAATTCCTCTATTATAACTGTTTGATTAACATTTTAGAAGTTGGTGAGTAAATAAGAAAAAGTACACTTTTATGGATAACAAACTCCAACTTTATAACGGTGTAATAATCAACGTGGAAACGCTACATGCATTACACAAGAAGTTGTTATCCATATAGATGAAGGTTTTCTTATTCTTATTTCTTATAGCGGGGCGGTCGGGTAGCCTTGTCACGCCGAAGACCCGGGTTCGAATCCCGACATGGGTACAATGTGTGAAGCCCATTTCTGGTGTCCCCCGCCTTGATATTGATGGAATATTGCTAAAAGTTGCGTAAAACCATACTCACTCACACACTATTCCTATGGCATGCGATAGATCTAGTTTATTTCCGCTTCGTTGAATGAGATAAAAGCATTTACAAATATTCTTCCTAGCTGCTTAAGTATTTGGCCTATGTCTCCAGGGGGTGGTGGTGTTCAAGAGCTGCCGATTCCAGCCCCTGGGCTATGTGGACTACATCTACCCGGCTTGGGCCCAGGCGCTAGGGTGGTTGGTCATGACTGTCTGCATTGTCTTCATCCCGGGTTGGTTCATCGTCTACTTCCTCAGATACGGCGGATGCAAGGTGAGCAACACACACGACGTTACGTTACTAACCCGCTTGAACACTGCCCTCTCTTTAAAACATGTTAAAGTGTTAATGCCTGCATCAATATATTTTGAAATATTTAACTCCGACAAGGCACTAATCAATTAGCCGCTAACAGACATGTGTCTATTGTCACAGATGATTGCTAAAATGTCCCGGCCAGCTCCTGATTGGGGTCCTCGACTACCCGAAAATAGAACCGGCATATACGCGGACGGCGACAGCAACACTGAAGTGACATCTGATATTCCCGCCATCGTTATCAGCGACGTGGACGACCAGGCATCTGGCAATGACATCAAAGGTGTGCGTGCAAAGGGAGGAGATGGCTCCGTCAGAACGAAGCACACGAAGGGCGGGGGGAAACAGGAAACACCAACTGGGCGTAAGGACTCGCCAAGCATGAAAGGGAACAAGATCGGCAGTTTCAAGGGTACTGGAAAGGTCCATGACCTAGAAGACGACTACACTGAAAACGCTTCTAAAACCACCAACAGCATCAAAGGAGCCTCCGTAGAAATGAAACGTGTGGACAGCGTTAAAAGACAGGCCAGTATTAAAGGGGCACCGCAAGGCAGTTTGAAAGGGGCATCTGTAGTATCTGTTAAGGGGGCAGCCGTAACGACCGTTAAAGGAGAACCCATTACTGGCGTGAAAGGGGTACCTGTAGGTGTTAAGGGGACAGCCGTAACGACCGTTAAAGGAGAACCCATTACTGGCGTGAAAGGGGTACCTGTAGGTGTTAAGGGGACAGCCGTAACGACCGTTAAAGGAGAACCCATTACTGGCGTGAAAGGGGTACCTGTAGGTGTTAAGGGGACAGCCGTAACGACCGTTAAAGGAGAACCCATTGCTGGCGTTAAAGGAGTACCCGTAGCAACTGTTAAAGGAGCTACCGTAACCAGTGCAAACAGAGCACCCATTACCAGCGTCAAAGAAGCATCTATGGCCTTCGTCAAAGGAGCGACCGCAGCCAATGTCAAAGGGTCACCCGTAGTCAGTGTCAAGGCGACAGACGTTGCCAGTGTTAAAAATGTACCAACATCCAACATCCAAGAAGCCCCCGAAGTTCCAGTGATCCAAGACTTCAGTGTGGCAGAGGTCATTGGCAAACATGTAGGCGACGTGAGGAAGACACAAGGGGGAGGTAACTCTGTATACGAACTGGAAGATGCCGCCACGACGGATATAATGCCGGGACGAAGAGGGCAGTGGTAACCGAGGAGCTCCATGGCGTTAACTGAAGAAGCATAAGACATTGAGTCAGCCTCCAAGTGGACGATGGAACGCCCAAAACACACCTGTAACCTTTGTATGGGCCTACATCACAAATACCTACATACACAGGCAAAAGCATTAAACAAGCGCATATGTTTGGTTACTTCCGGTTGATTCAGTGATATTGCTTCTTAGCACATACGGCTTTGATACACACACGACAAGTCAATGAAGTACACATAAGCACATTTATTAAAAACCTGACTCACTGCAGTTTAAGCACACAAAACACAGCGTCATTTCTTCGGATATAGACCATTCAGCGGTAAGGCTGCAGCAACGTTGGTAACCAGGGTAGACTTAAGAATACGTTCGGCCTGTCCTTAATCTACATTATGGTTTAGTTCAGACACGATAAGGGTAGACATCAGCGCCTAAACCGTCTTGACATTGACTTGACCTTCACACACCACAATAGACTTGAACTCGACGCGCCACAATAGACAACAGCGCTTGTTGTAGCTCTCGACACATGCTAAACGTTACGCTGTCCACACTATGTATTCTCTGATATAATTTCTTGTCATGCATTTTGCTTTATGCTATGTTAAATATTATAAGTCTATTATGTATTCGTTTAAAAAGTCTTTATTTAAATGCTGTCACATATTTGAGATTCTGTTATAAGAAGTATAAAAACATTTACATTTGCACGTTGTTGAAAAAATAAAGATTTTTATGACACAATCAAGCCTTTTGTCAATATCGCTGAATAGAACAATCGTGTACGGTTATTTTTAACACGTCAGTAAGAGTTATTCAATATAGCCACACTGAAAATTAAATCAAAACAATATTTTTAAGATCCAGTTTAACTATCATTCATTCGTGGCCAAAATTGTGTGGCCCATTCCTTATTCCTTACATTGAACAGCGCAGAAGGTCGTCCACATTTACCTATGGTGAAAACCACGAGCATTCAACTAGCAGTTCCCGGGTCGTAATAGCAGCGATTCTATGAATCGAACTTGAACTGTTTCGTATGATGAAACTGACATTTCAGTTTTGCAAGGTGTTATGTTTTTGTATTACCTTCACGAGGAATACGGACGAAGGAGCCTCGTTCTGATGTACTAGTTCAACCGTCATTAACAAATTGAACTGATACAACGTGTTGGCCATCATACTAGGGCTGGGACGGGTAACTCAGGTACTCGGGTCGGGTGGGTACTGAGTAGGACCCAGGTACCCACAGAACTACCCGGACCCGTACTTAGTCACGTGATTATATTGTTTAATGGCAAAAAATATTTAGAACTCCATGGTTATACTATAAGTGACAAATTTATTTCTGACTATACACACATTCCTTCTGACTTTATATGTTTGCATAATGATATAACTTCAGTCAACTTCAGTGTATGCATGACCAGATCGGATTATACGTGTATCTAAATTTATTTTGACAGGAGTACGGTCAAACGTTTCCCAATCAGACGTTTTGTACCTCTCTCTTGAGACCTGCAGCGGGTACCCGGGTAGGGTCGGGTAATAGGGGGTGGGTACCCCGGTAGTAAATTTGGACTCGTCCCAGCCCTACATCATACACTCACGACTAGCAGATCCTTACACAGTTAAGGGCCGCAAATCTTCACAGCTAATTGCGGCGCAACCTGTGCCCCATCTTTACCGTCACGACTAAGCTCGTCACATCAGTCACTTACATATTAAGTCTTCTACACTCACCAAAAAAAACATTTTCATTTCTAGCTTGTCGATTGATACCATTTACATAGCTTATTTCAGCACTGCAAAACTGTTACAGTATGATTTGAAATTATTGCACCAAATATTTTGAACAGAGGAGTACAAAATACCTTAAAGTTTTAATATTTACTGCTAGTTGGTATAGTCTTGTTGTTTTTGAGACATAAGGCATAACTGGACGTTAGCCGAAACAGCTTTGTTGCAAAAAATGCAAAAGTGACTTTATACACGGTTTGTTGTTTCTTCAAATGGATTGGTCAGCAGGCGTAATGCCTACTTGGAGACCTCTCCGACAATATACATCAATCAGTTACGATTGAAAAACATCTTTCTCATAGCTTCGAAGAGGGCACTTTTGTGAGTCACCATGATCATCCGGGGACTTATACCAATTTTCCTTCATGTAACTGAGTGACAGAACTCCCCTAGAACATGTACGCTCCTTAGTCAAGTTATACAGGTATCAGTGACTAAGTGAGTGAGTTGGGTTGGGTTTTACGTCATTTTCAGCAATATTCCAGTAATGTCACGGCGGGGAATACCGGGAAATGGGCCTTACACCATCTACTCTTGTGGGTACACATCACAAAAACACACGCACGCACGCACGCACGCACGCACGCACGCACGCACGCACGCACGAACACGCACACACACACACACACACACACACACCATCATCATCATCTTTGTTAACCATAATCAGAGATTCTTATGAATATACGTGGCCTCAAAACACATCCTTGGCGAATACCAATAACACATTGAAAATACTCTCACCAGCTACCTTCTATTCTCACAGAGTTAGGTGAGGTGAGGTGAAATTGGGTTTAACGTCGCGTCCAAGATTATTGCACTTATAAAGCGACGTGCATGTGTGTGTGTGGCTGCTTGTACTAGTCCGGACTGATGCCGATTTATAGTGCTAGCTCACTGAGATACCATGCCGCAGTTTAACATGAATACCCCACTCAGACACAGTATACTGACTCCGAGCCGACCAGTCCTTGTTTTAGCCCCTTAATGCCGAGCGCCAGACAGGGTAACAACAAGTACAATCTTTTAACGTCTTTTTGTATGACGCGGCCCGGGATCGAACCCTGGACCTTCCGTTCCGGGCGGACGCTCTACCACAAGACCACGGAGGCGGTCCACAGAGTTAGGAGTATATAGAGCAAGGTATGATAAACCCTATCTATGCCTCGTAGGATATCGTTATTTGTGTCGTACAAGGTCAAGACTAAGCGTCAATGTATTTTCCTATAGTTATTGAAATAATCCTCATTTCCACATTAAATTTTGGGTTTGTATCCTTTAATTGAAAATATAAGTACATCTGGCCTCCTAACTACAGCTAAGTGTTGCATACCGATGCTACCGTAGTTTGCCTCCACAGTATGCAGTGGCCGTCATTATGTAGATTTGATGTTCGCTATATTCATAATGGGCAATTAGTATTGGTCTACACACACAACAGGTACATTTCAGTGTTGATTTACGGATCTTCAAGCGGGCATGGGCGTTTCTCGTATAACATGACCTACCATAAACCTTGATTAGAATTAAAGTTGTCTGGGTTGTCGTTTGATTAAAGATGTATGGTAGGACATACACCTCTGGCACATACACGGTTTCCATCTGTCTCACGTGTCATACTAGTACGTCAGCTTCACCAAGGGGCGACATGGAAGGGTTGCAGTCCTGGGTTCGAGCCCCGCATGGATTCATTTTGGTGTAGTTAGGTTTTCTTTGCTCTAGAATCCGGGGTAGAATAGACCCCAGCAACCTATGCTTTTCGAAAAAAGCAAATAAATGGTCACTTGAAATTAGTTGCTTGCATGTCAGCGTGAGACAGTGTGAGACTATCTATCAATCACTGGTTTGTCTGGTCCAGACATGAATATATCAAGGGCGCTGTATGGAATACCTGAAGGGACATCGTCATGTTGTCGCGCATTTTAAAGCCTTTTCTTACACATTTATATTATACCGTTTAAAATGTCGCGTTGTCGCAGTGTTGCACTTTGGTAAAAGTCAAACATATAAATTAACGCGCGACAACGCTACGAATGGTCAAAATGAGGCATTGTCGCGTTGTCGTGCTTTGGTTAGTTTTGACACGTTTTGCGACTACGCGATAATGTCCTTTCCAGGTTCCATAGCGCCGCCTTATAACTGTAGCTTTGCTGAGTGCTGGCGCTTACTTTGCTTCATTGTTGAAAACGACATTGTATTATTATGTAACAGATCAACGTCAGCATCTTATATTGGAGGTAATTCAACTTATACTCTTAAAAGATAGAGGATACTCGGAAATAACTTAAAAAATCCAAAATTGTAAGAGGTATTAGTTTCTCGTAATAGCTGTATGATTATAATGAATGAGTGAGTGAGTGAGTTGCGTTTAACGCTGCTTTTAACAGTATTCCAGTTATATGGCGGCGTGTCAGCTTAATGTGGGAGGAAAGCCCGAAGTGATGCAGGTCTCAGACGTTTACCACTTCGGTGAAACCCACGAGCACGGGTATGGTGCTGACAAACCTAGAAACATAATCGGTGAAAACCGGGATTCGAACCCACAATCATAGGTTTCTGGCGTGCCCAAGGGACGCAACTCTTCACAGCGAATCGCGGCGCCTTAGACGACTGGGCCACCCGTGTCCCCTCTATCAATGGATGCTTGTCGTCAACACTTATCTTTGTTCTTATACTTGGTAGTAACATTTATATTTCATGCTCCCCGCGTGTTTTAAGAGTATATATAAATTAAAGCATATATGACGTCTCTGTATATCACTGTGGTGAAATGTCACGTGGCAGCAGATATCATGTTTATGTCTACTATATCGGTGTAGAAACGTAATTATGATATGCATGTTTGGTGTATTGTCTCAGTATATCATTGATTTATATCATGGGCTTGCATGGAGTGTCATCTTAGCATATGGAAGTTAAATCAGTATATCATCTATCAGTATATCGTTCATATCATATGATGTGACCTTATATTGTGTGACGTATATTATATCATTGCAGCAGTGCATCACATATGCAGGCATTCTTTGTATATTATTATGTTTATGCTATAACGAGTTACCTTTAGCTCATGCGAGCATAGACTAGCACAAGTACACTTCTCCTGTGAACGACTTAATTACAGACAGACAGACAGACAGACAAATTTATTCGGCACTTCAGGCCACCGGCCCATAATACAATGGAAATATACTGTATATATATTTTTGCATGCTGAGTAGATTTAATAACGATTTACCGTTCAACACTGTGTTTCCGTTCGAATGTTCA